TTTTTTTTTTTTTTTTTTTTGGGTGTATTTAGATACAGAAATCAAAACGTTGCCATTAAAGTTGTTCGGAGAGGGGAAACACCGGAGGAAATTGCCCGGAGAGAAGCTCGGTTTGCTAGAGAGGTTGCAATGTTATCTAGAGTTCAGCATAAAAATTTAGTGAAGGTTGTTTATTTAGCATATAAGCAATAACACTTAGCTTTTGAATTTTATGCTCTTTCCTTCTATCTTTATTTTGGGTGTCAAGAGCTGTTAATCAAGAACTTTCATGTATCAATAAAATGAAGAGGAAATGAGGCAGATTTTAATTGGCCTATCATGTATTTCCAGTTTATTGGTGCTTGCAAGGAGCCTATGATGGTGATAGTAACTGAGCTTTTACTAGGTGGGACTTTGCGCAAATACTTTCTGAATATGCAACCAAGGCAGTTGGACTTGCGTGTGGCGATTGGATTTGCACTTGACATAGCTCGTGCAATGGAATGCTTACACTCCCATGGGATCATTCACCGTGACCTGAAGCCTGGTATGATCATAACATTGAACTTTTGAGTTCAAATGAGTAGCACTCTGTGTTAGCACTTAAGTGTCTAGATGCAGTTTTTCAGACTCTAGTTTACTTTTAATGGTGAAACGGAAAACATGATGACTTAGCAAGCATGTTTATGATTTATATTTTGGTATGTATTTTCTGTATGTTTAAAGGATTCAGAAGTATGCCCTCCATTAGAATGATTTTTTCATTGATGAATCATGCTCATCATTCAATTTCAATTTCATAAAAGCATCATGGGAGAAAGTTGTCCTCCTAGGGCAATGCTGTATTTTTAAGTCTGACAGTCTTTTTCCCTTAATAAGTGAGTTGAACTTACTGTTTGATGGGGAATAATTGGGTGAGGTTATTGCCACCATTAAATTTGTTAAGGTCACCCATTTAACTGTAATTTTATCAGTTTATATATATATATTTTTCATAAACAAGTAGTTATGATATTTGGAAATATCTGTCTATAAACTGATTTCAATTTATTAAATAATAAATATTAAGTATTTTATCAGTTATCAGTTGTTTTTAACACTTAAATTAAGATAAAAATTTTATAATTTTTGGTGACTTTAACAAATTTAATAGTGGCCGTAACCATAGCCAGAATAATTCTGCGGTAGCTACTATTTAATTCTGTCCTGTATGAAGGGGCAGATGCAAGAAGCTCATGTCAGTATGATTGCTATAAATCAATTCTCCCCACCACACCAACCCAATGCAGAAAAGGAAAAGGGTAATGAATGCCATTTAAGAGTTGTTTGACTGGAAGTCCAAGTATGCAGTGAAGTAAGTATATACAAACACATGTTGTTGGACTGGAAGCCCAAGTCTGCAGTGAAATATGTATAAACACATGTTAGTTAGTTCCAGGTTCCAAATAATCATAATTTGATGTATGGCAGAAGTTCTGGAATTGTTGGTTTTCGACTCATTTGAGATCTGATGTTGGAAGTCAGCTCACAGGCCTCTAGGCAAATGAGATCTAATACCATTAAAAGTTCCAACTTTTTGGCAAATTCTTTCTTTTTGGAGCTTTTCTCCTGACTTCTGTAGTGATCTCTTTTATGCTGCCTAGCATGGTTGGAAGATGAGATTGTTGTAGATACTTGTTTAGTTTGATTCTGCTTCTGAGGTGATGATCTGGTTTTTGTCATGGTCTATGATTCTTTTAGTAGCACTTTGATTAGATGAAACTAATTTGATTTCTTAGTATATTTTGTTTTATAAAATTGACACGCATGAATGCATTGGATGACCAAGTAAAACAACAATCAGCATAGTGGTTCCTTTTTTTGCTTGACATTCCTAGTATCCATGTGGATGAGTTAATCCTTGGCTACAATTAAATATAAGCATACCAGTAACTAAGTAAATTATGTAATCACGTTTATCCTTTCCTTTTGTGATGCAAAATTAAGCATAATTTTGATTATTTGTTTTCTGCAGAGAACTTGATCTTGACTGCGGACCATAAAACAGTAAAATTAGCAGATTTTGGTTTAGCCAGAGAAGAGTCTCTGACAGAGATGATGACAGCTGAAACGGGGACATATCGTTGGATGGCTCCTGAGGTAACAACTTCAAATTTTGTTTTTTCCAAAGAAAGTTATTGCAAGTAATGTTCCATCTTAGAATGCTGACTTTCCCTTATTTGTTTGGCTGACAGCTTTATAGCACGGTTACATTAAGGCATGGGGAGAAAAAGCATTATAATCATAAGGTGGATTGCTACAGCTTTGCTATCGTGTTGTGGGAACTCATCCATAATAAGTTGCCTTTTGAAGGCATGTCAA